TCTCCTAGAGAAGCTGGGGGCAACTGCAGCTCCCCCTGGGGACATAGACACTGGTGGCAGCCATTCTGGAGAACTCATTCTACCATGTGGACACTGGTGCTGGCAAACACCATTTTGGAATCCTCCCTCTAGCTTATTAACCTCAGGACCCAGCCCTGCCCTGGCCCAACAGTCTATAGGTGCCAGTTCTAGCATACCTCTTGCCAAGCAAATAACTGGGCATGGACACAGGTCTACCCACCAACAGATAAACACAATTAATAAACCATAGATAATATTTGAGTCTCATCCACTCTTTCCTTTCTTATCCACTGGCCCCAGGTTCATCCCCACATATGATCTGGATATCCCCCACCCTCTGAGTAAGCTGGTGCCTTGCACCTGAATTTTCTCCACATTCTGTTGGCTTACTGACCTCTTCCTAATCCAGCATGCTCCCTTCCTCTTTTGAATTCACTTGACTGAGCATTTGTGCCTTTCTGTGTTTTTCTCGTGTTCTCCCTTATATTTTAGTTCTCTCATTTTAATTAATCTTCATTAGACAGTCTAAAATTTATCATCTTAACTGTTTTTAATAAGTATGTTCACAGTATTGTACAACAAACTTTCAGAACTTTTTCATCCTGCAAAACTGAAACTCTATCCCCATGAAACCAGAAATTCCAATCCTCCCCTCCACTCCCCCCCGGCAACCTCCATTCTACTCTCTGTCTCTAGCAATCTGACTTCTCTAAGTACTTAATATAACTGGAACCATAACATCCTCAAGGTTCATTCATGCTATAGCATGCATCAGAATTTCCTTTCTTTTTAAGGCTGAATAATATCCCATTGTATGGATGGACCACATTTTCTTCATCCATTCTTCTCTCTATGCATACTTGGGCTGCTTTCATCTTTTGGCTAGTGAGAATTATGCTGCTATGAACATGGGTGTACTCATATATTTTTAAGACCTTGCTTTCAGTTCAGTGGGGCAATATACTCCAAAGTAGAACTGCTGGGTCATATTTTAATTTTCTGAGGATCTGATGTACCATTTTTCATAGCGGCTGCACCATTTTACATTCCCAACGGTACATAAGGGGTCAAATTTCTCCATATCCTTGTCTACACTTATTTCCTTTTTTATTGTTACTGTTATTGTTCTTATTTTTTATAGTAGGCACCCTAATGGGTATGAGGTGGTATGTCATTTTGACTTGCAATTCCATTATGATCAGTGATATTAAACATCTTTTCATATCCTTATTGGCCATTTCTATATCTTCTTTTGAAAAATGTCTGTTTTAAAACCCATTTTAAAAATTGGGTTGTTTGGGTGTAAAAATTGGGTCTTTGTCTGGTTTGTCTTTGAATCCAACATAGCATACACTCCATTATTTACCCACTTCTGAAAACTGGGGTTCAGGAAAGTTGGATGGATGTTAGGTTAACAGTCATAGGACTTTATCTGCATATACTCTGAGGTCCTGGAGGTCTCAAGTACATTCAGGTCTTCAACTAACCCTCTAATTAGCACTTCTGAAAACAATTATCGTGAACGTCATCTGAGAAAAAGTCTAAAGTTGGATATGCATTAGTCCATGAAAGTTTTCACTACCTCGTCCCCAGTCCACATGAGGTAGCTTTCTAGAAGGAAAAGTGTCCTGCTCTGAGTCATAATGCTTGGAGGAGTTTGGAAGAGTGAGTTTCAGTTTGGTGGTATGGGAATTACTCCAGGATGAACTATAGAGATATTCTATAAATCTCTGTATAGGAGAAGTCATACTAGATAGGAGAGGTCATACTTCTCAAGAGTTGGAGAAGACTCTTGAAAGTCCCTTGGACTGCAAGGAGATCCAACCAGTCAATCCTAAAGGATATCAGTCCTGAATATTCATGGGAAGGACTGATGCTGAAGCTGAAGCTCCAATACTTTGGCCACCTGATTCAAAGAACTGACTCATTGGAAAAGACCCTGGTGCTGGGAAAGATAGAAGGCAGGAGGAGAAGGGGATGACATAGGAACAGGTCATTGGATGGCATCACCGACTCGATGGACATGAGTTTCAGCAAGCTCCAGGATTTGGTGATGGACAGGGAAGCCTGGCATGCTGCAGTCCATGGGGTTGCCGAGAGTAGGACACGACTGAGCGACTGAACTGAACTGATAGGAGAGGTCAAGACTCAGCAGGAATAAATTAGAAGTCACATGAAGAATCTTCAGTTGGGGGGTCAGGTTTCATTCTGTAAACATCTATAATGCAGCTAAGAGCCCAGTATTGGCTCGGGAGGTAGGCACAGAATCATAGCTTGGTCAGAGTTAAGTGACTCTAGTTTGTGTCTATCAAATTCCAGGGTGTAGAGAAGTATTAGAAAACTAGATGCAGAAATGTGAATTATTAACCATTAATCTCTGCTTCCTGTTTCTGTCTTCTCAGCACTACAACTTTTGCTTTGATTTCCCTTCTTTGACAATTTAGGTAAAAATTATAGTGGCTGATTAAAAAGTTCCATGATGGAAAGGGCGAGGGAAATTAAAAGGTAATTTTCTTTTATTACTTAAAAAATCTGTGATTAAATCAACTGCTGCTTCTCTACGTATAGAACACAAAGTGCCTACAGAGCTAAAGAAAGTGTTTGCTGTTCAGAATGATTATTTCAAAGACTTGGTCATAACCAGCTTATAAGATGACTAAATGAAATAATATATGTGAGTGTGAAAGCTTCTAGCAAAGTCAGGGTAGTGGGTTTTTTTCTTTCTTTTCTTTTCTTTTTTTAATTTTTTGTCTAACCATGAAAAAATAGAGATTAGTAAGCAAATGAATAAGTAAACAAGTTGAATAGGCAAACAAGTGAAGTGTTTCTTTATTTAATAGCAGAGGCATTTAGCAGCAGGCCTCTATTCACACAATGAATTTGCTAATTATAAGTGAGTCCCATGTAGTATTTAAAGCATTTACAAGGTTGTTAGACTCCCTTAGAGTTCTGTCCCCCTTCCACTTGTAGCAAGGTAACTACAATCCTCAAAGAGAAAGAACGGTTTTGCTTTTTAAGTGTCCTATTAGTCAGACTGTTCATTTACTTAAACCAGCACCCACTTCTTGGTCCCTCTTACCCTCCCTGATGAAAACCCTGAAGCCAGCACAGACAGGCCTTTATCATGCACACACTCATCTACCTACAGCAGACTCCTTGTCATTCCTCAAATTAGCAGTGCCCTTGACCTGTGCATTGCCTTGGCTACATCTTCATCTGGTGAGCTCCTGCTCATCTTTCATGACCCAGCTCACCATCCTCATTGCCTTCTCTGAGCCACCTTTTCCAGCACCTGAAGGTACTTTGCCCCTCCATCTACTGAATTCCCATCACCCTTTGGTCATATCTCTTAGAACTCCAATCACATTATATGGCAATGGTGTGTTCACAGGGCTCTCCCCCTGCCCGCCCCCACCACTGGACTGCAAACTCCTACAAAACAAGGAGTGTAACGGACAACTTTTAACCTTCCCACCTATCCTGAAACATCTAGAGTAGTTCTTGGCCCAGTAGATATTCAGTAGCTGTTGGGCCAAAGTTATTATTAGGACCAGGAAGATCAATAGCAGTGTGGTCTAAAGAAAAATAGGTCAGAAAATGGGGGGGGGGGGGACTCAGAAGTAAAGAAGAAAGGAAACAGATTAGGAGAAAGGGGGGTCAGTAGGAGAGGGTGGGAGTAGAGAAATCCAGGAAGGAAACACGTGCAAAGAAGTAAAACAGATGCTGGGAAGCAAAGTCACGTTGAGAAAGAAAAATTTGAGGTATGTGAAATCAGGGAAACACGTTGGTCGTCACTTTCCATCAAATACTCTTGGGCATTTTCAAAGCTCATCTGTCCCCACTTTTCCCTAGAAACAAAGAGGGATGAGAGGAAGAAAAGGCTAGAGTGGGAAATGAGGCAGCAAACACTATGAGCTCAGCACTCAGACTGTGCCCTCAGCCACTGCCTTTGACCTCTCCTGTTACTCAGCCTCTCTCTTCTGACCCAGGCCTGAGCTCTGTCACTTTTCTCTTTTCTACGTGGAAGGCCCATGTATATACAAGTCATATATGTGAGAGCAAATGGGCACATGTGTGTATGCTTATTTATCATTGAGGTTTTTTTTATAACCTGGAAAAACAGAGATCAGAGTCATAGCAAGCCCCCAGGATCCCTGCCTGTGCTGTCAGAGGGAAGCATTTGCAAAGTTCCCTAGAGAGGCTGTCGCAAAGAGTCAGACACAACTGAGCAACTGAAATGAACTGAACTGGAGAGACTGTAGCTCCTGCCTGCATGAAGGGTTATAATGATGCATGTAAACATGCTTTAGAATGTATGTCTTTAAGACAAAATGACTTTCAGACTCACCAAGCTCTCTTCCTCACAGGAGATGTGCCACTTGATGGTTGAAGCCTTTTGGAGTTATGTCTCGGGTAACCAAACAGTGTCTCATACCTATAGAACAGTACAGTGCAGCCCTGGTTAAAAGTTGGGAGCCCAGATGGCCAGTGTGGGCTCGGCCACTCAGTCTGAAGCTGAGTTTTCTCATCTGTCAAATGGGAGTACTCTCACACACTTACATTGTGTGGTTACTGTGAGGATCAAGTCACCTTTTGCATAGGATCCTACACATGACCAAGATTTCAGAGTTTTCCAGTTGTTTCTACCACCATTCTTTCATCTGATCCTCTCAACAACCCTGCCAAATATTTTGATCCTCATTTTACAGATGAAGAAACTAAAGCTCTAAGGGGAGAAGTCACTTGGCCAAAGGCACAATAGCTAGTAAACCAGGATGATACAGATTTTGTTTTCGAAGTCATCTTCAATTTATTCCTTTGTACAAAGCTGGCTACTCAGTGCTATTGGCTTCATGGCCCCTCTTTCCTAACTTCCCTCATGTCTCCTCCTCCCCACAGCCTTTGAAGGTGTTCTATATAGTGAATTAATTAGCTTTCCTTTTGTCCCCCCATTCTCCCCTACTTTTTCTGGCCCTTAGAAGAAAACACCAGCAGTCCCGACCAAGAAAACCAGCACCACCTTCAACATCGTGGGAACCACCTATCCCATCAACCTGGCCAAGGACACTGAGTTCTCTGCCATCTCCAAGGGCGCTGCTCCGAGCACCTCCTCCACCCCGACAATCATTGCTTCGCCCAAGACCACCTATGTGCAGGATATCCCGACTGAGACCAAGACCTACAACAGTGTCAGCAAGGTTGACAAGATTTCCCGCATCATCTTTCCTGTGCTCTTTGCCATTTTCAATCTGGTCTATTGGGCTACATATGTCAACCGGGAGTCAGCTATCAAGGGCATGATCCGCAAACAGTAGGTAGTGGTGGCGCTGCAACCAGAGCACTATATACCCTAGGAAGCATCCAGGCACCCAGACCCCAGGGCTCCCCTTCATGTGTTTCAGGACTCTTCTTTTGTAACCCTCTTACCATGCCATGACTCTCAGTTAATATTTAGGAATCTCAATGAAGAAACAATAACAGAAACAATTACTTGTCCCTCTAACATTGCTGAGTATGTCCTGATTGGAGCCAAACACTGCCATTTGTCCAGTTGCTTATCTTAATCTGCCAGTCTCCCTCAGCTGAGGGCACGGCATGTATTTTACTGCACTCTGCCCACTACAGAAACAACAGGAGACTCTAAAGCCTGCAGTGAGAGCCTTGGCTATTGGAAAGGTCCAGAATAAGGTGGATTGTTGACTTGTCCAGATCAGATGATTCTGACTCACTAGGGAGCTATCCTGGGTCCCCAGTGGTCCTGCCTGCCACCTCTCCTGCCCACAACAGGGCCCACTAGGCATAAGTACTGATAACAAAGGCAGGAGCCAATGCTAACCTCTGAAGATGGCCCAAAACCCCTTTATTGGCTTGGAGGTTAGTGTGGACAATTGAGGCTTTACCTCTGTCTACCATGTATTGCCAAAATAGATAGAACCAGTTAGGTCAGCCTGGCACCAAGATGACAAATACCTGCCAGGTCTAGACCCTCAGGAAAATAGTACCTTCTTTGGTACATCTCATCCAGAAAGCCCTTTTCTCTTAAGCCCTTTGAACCTGTTATAGCCAGCTGGACATGGCTTAGCTTGGACTCATTACTGCCTATAAACTCTTTAGGAAAAGGATCAAGTATTTATTTTAATTTATACTAAGAAGGGACACATGCAACAAAATGAGATCAAATGCCTAAATTTTCAAAAAGATTAGAAAGATATGAAAGTCACCTCCTGGCCAAGGCAACTCATCAAATACTGGATGGAGTGAGAGATTTGGGCTGGGTGGTAGTTGAGGCTTGAAGACTGGCTTGAAAAAGAGGGCTGCTGGCAGGTGAAAGTCAAGTTCTTCTTTCCATACCCTCCACACTCCAGACCCTAGCCCAAGAACTTTGGTCCTACTTGTCAGGGACCTCTGGTCCTCTCTTGATGTCAATATTAAGAGGGATGGATTAGAGTCTAGTTTACTTTAAACCTATTACCAGTTTGATAATATATTATTTAAAGGATTCGATCTCATTTGTTCTTAGCGTGAATAAAAGGGACAGTTATAATTGTAAATTTTTTATAAAGTAGACAAACTCAGTTTCAGATGTTTGAATGACTCACCGAGGCTCCTTAAAAGTGTCTGTAATAGAGAACTATCATGGACCCCTTTCCAAAGGCCAACATGAAGATAGAACTGAGAGTCCAGGTCCATCTAGACCTCAGAATCAGCACCATCTCAACAGGCATGCTGGGTCCTGAATGCAGTTTGGTTGGACACCAAAAAGATTTTTAGAAAGTCACAATGTGTTATCCAAGGAAACCACTTCCCGTCGCCATGGTTCAAGAGAATGAGATGAAGATGGCAGCCCCAGCCACTAGTCCAAAGTATCTGGGAGCCCCTAAGTAATGCCACAAAGGGCACCAAAAGGAGATTCTCCCTGCCCACCCCCTGATCAGTGCTCCTAAGGGGTCTATCGTTAGCTGCTGGTTGCCTTTTCACCCATCCTTCCCCCATCTCCTGCTTCCTTGCCATTGCTGGGATAATGCATGCCAGTCCCATTATTCCTCAGACTGTGTCTGTAGGTAAATTCATGACTAGAAGAGTGTAGTGTCGTGGCTGTGTGGGGATGGGGGGGTGGGGTGGGTGGGGCTGTTAATGATTGTTTTGTTCATGATTGTCTTAAGGAATTTAGAATGGAAGCCTGACCTTTACCTCTCTGTAGAAATTGTGTTTCCAAATGCTTTGGTGCAATGTTTAGCGGCTGTTTATTAAACTCTTTCTGAATTGTACTCAGGCTAAATAACTTTTTTTGGACACTGTTTGATTAACACAAGCCAGAGTCTGTTTTGGGCTTTTACTCCTATTCTCGTGCCACCCTTAGTTAACACCATTGGAATATGCTGGAAAAAAGGTATCCCAAGAACAAGAGATCTGTTACAGCAATCCAAAATGGAACCCATGTGAAAAGATTGCTTTGATTGACTCAGGGGTCTCATTACCCAATATGACAGAGAAGGAAACACTTGTATTGCTTCCTCCACTAAATTCACCCACTCCCAGGAAATAAGAGAAAGGTCTTTTCTTTGTAATTCAAAAGGCTTCCCCCCACCTTTTCCATTGATTATTATTTTCCTTAGGAAATAGTTCTCTCCAGGTAATAGTTACTAGGCAGAGGGAGAATAAGTGTCTAATTGGTTAGTCCATGTGTTGGGAAATAGATGATGACCTTTATCTGTTACAGAGTTAAGAAATATCTGGGAAATAATCTTATGAGATGTGCTTGAGGAAATCACTGGGCTTCTAAGGGATGGGGACAATCTCCTTGGGAGAGCATTTTGAATCATATAAAAGGTTTTCTTGGGTGAAACAAGACCAGAGACTTGAACAATTGGACCCTCAGTGCATATTCTAGCCATGTGGTCATCTGATTGATGCCGTCATACTACAGCAATTTCATAATCCTTGACCAATTCAATCATACCCCCCAAACAACCATGAGACAGAGGCTCCCTAGCAAAGTTGCCCACTACCCATATTTAAGTGTTGTTTCCTTGAGAAACTTCTAAGACCAGTTTTCCTCTGAAAACTATTCCCCGAGTTTTATGGGAAAGCTGAAGCTGTTCCCATCAGTAATTCTGTTGCTGAGGTCACCTAGAGTTTGAAACCTTACCCCAAACTGGGACCAATATTGTGAACTTAAGAATCTTATGGTAATAAGAGCTTCAGAGGCATACCCCTAGCAGTTCTAGAGGCTACTGCAAGAATGTCTAACAAAGTATAGCCACTTAATACATATTTTTGAATCGTTATTGTTCAGTCTCTCAGTCATGTCCGACTCTTTGCAACCTCATGGACTGCAGCACACCAGGCTTCCCTGTCCTCATTATCTCCCAGAGTTTGCTCAAATTCATGTCCATTGAGTCAGTAATGCCATCCAACCATTTCATCCTCTGTTACCCCCTTCTCCTCCTGCCCTCAATCTTCAGAGGAGCCTGGTGGGCTACAGTCCATGGGGGTCACAGGATTTGGACATGACTGAGCAACTAAAGCCTTATTTATGAATAAATAAATGCTAACCTAGATGAGGGGTATGTGGGGTGGGGGGGGTTCCTCAAGGTGATGTTGGAAAGGAGACTAGCTAAACCATGATCAGTGGAGACTGATGGAAACAAACAAATGCAATATGCAACCCTCTAAAGCAGCATCCAAGTGTTAATAAATGCACACTGTCACTGAAAATAACATTTTTCCCCCCTAGTGAATAATCGTTTGCTCCTATGGACTTTTAAATCTGAGGTGTTCACGTAATGGCCTTTTAGTTCCTCATGCTAAAGTATGGCAGGCAGGAGAGCAAGGCATGACTGGGCACCAGGATGCATCTGTGTTATGATACCCTTCAGAGGGCTTCTCACACTGAGTTTGAGAAGGAGGCTCTCTGGAAGCCCGACTCCTTCCTAGAGGTCTAGCAGGAGATGGAATGAATGAGAAGGGAAGTGGAAGAGGAAGAAAGCATTGGGGAAAATTCTGTCAAAGGGGTCTATAATTGGAGCAAGAATCTCTCTTCAGTCTCAATAGCATCTAATTACACAGGCTCCCTTTTCCCTGGAAACATCTTTCATGTGACGGTCCACTGCACTGAGGCTAAAGGCACCTGCCCTTGTTGACCATGCAAGCTACTGTCTGGAACCTCCTGCCTTTTCCATCACAGAGCGCCTGGGCCTTGTCTACCTTGCTTCTGCCTAGGCTCCAACAATTTGATGTTATAAGAAAAACATTGAGAAGAATGAACACCTGAATTTCAGTCAGGGCTCAATTCCATATCAGTTGCTACATGAAATCGTGCAAGTCCCTCCCCTGAGCTGAGAGTTTCCCTATTAGTAAACTGGGGTTCTGATGAGAGCCAAGTCAACGTAAGCATACACTTTCTAGTAGCTTCCCTGGTGGTTCGCTCTGCCCTGAGTGTCACCACATCCTGGGCACACCCTTCCCCGACCCCCACCCAGCCCACCTGGGGAACAAAAACACCATCCTTTGATTGCCTATCATGCAACTCTAGATGGATTGGCAGCTTCAAAAGAATTCGATTAAATACCAAACAAAGAAGCTAAGATGCCAAACTCTCAGGTCTATCAGTGGCCTCCTTACCACTCCCACTGCTGCCCTCATCCTTGGGCTGAGCTTCATGTGGTGGAGTCAGTCCTGTCATGATGCACAGTGCCATTAGTGGTCCAGCATTAGGCCCGGAATGGGAAAAGTTGGGTCCTACCTTGACAAAATTAAGCAGGTGCTGGTACCAGGCAGGGAGCCCCTAGGGATGCCAAGAGTACAGATTGGGAACATGAAACACCCCATCTTCGTTTTTTTCCTCCAAAAGTTCAGCTTAGTGAAGAACAGAAACTCTTAGACGGGAACTCCCTAAACTTCAACAGAACTCATAGGATCTGCACACCATCTCTTCCTTCCCTTATGACAGGCAAAAGGTGGCCTTCCTCTGTCTCAGGCCAGTCCCTCTTTTATTCTTCATGTCAGCTCCTCTTTTCTAAAGGAATTCTATGCTGTTATCTTCTTTCAGTGAAGCTGTTCTTGCTGAGTCACCACTGCCCTGGTTACTAAAACTTAAAGGCATGTTTTAGTTATCTTACTTGACCTGTCAGCAGCACTTGACAATATTGAGTATGACTTGATTCTTTGCTTTCTATGACACCACAGTCTCCTAATAGCCTTGCATTTTCCTTCCTGCTGCCTGTTTCTGTTTTTCCTGTTCAACTTCTCCCATCCCTTCCTACAGTGTTTTCTCTCTTGTCTCCTCACTCTACACACTCTCCCTAAATGAGCTCGTCTGTCCTGATAGCTTCAGTTATCACATATTTCAAGTATCTTTTGTTGTGTAACAAACCAGCCCCAAATGTAATAGCACAAACAACCATTTAGTATTCCCATGGGCCAGGAATGTTGACGGGGCAACTAACACATGACTTACCTCTATTCCATTATGCCTGGGATGGCAGATAGGAATACTCAAATGAGCGGGGGGTGACCCAACTGACTGGAACATATGAGGATGAAAGATTTACTTTCAAGCTCCATGTCGCAGGGGATTCGGTGGTGAGATGAAGGCATATTAGTTACCCAGCTCTTGTCCTATTCAAGAGGGGAAAAGAGTCCTAAACTGAACAGAGGAGGGCATTCTGTGTGCCAGTCTAGGGGGTGGGGTCCTTCACTCACATGTCTAGCAGCTGGGCTGTGATGGTTTAGGACAGTTCAACAGTACTGTTGAATAGAGCATCTATATATGGCCTTTCCTCATGTCTTCTGACAGCATGGCGACTAGGTCCTGAAAGGGAGCATCTCCAGAAGGGGCCTCCAGAGTACAAGTGTTCTAAGAGAACCAGATAGGAAGCCACATGGCTTCTAACATCCTCACATGAGGGGTAGCTGCATTCTGTTGGTTACAACAGAGTCACTAAGGCCAGGCCCGATTTAAGAGTTTGGACACAGACCCCACCTCTTAATGGGAGGAGTGTCAAACAATTTACAGACGTGCTTGAAAACCACCACATCTACTTCATGATGATGACTGCCAAGTCAATATCTCTAGCCTAGTTCTTTCACATCAAATTTAACCTGTTAAAAGCAGTACTCTTTAATTCCTCAACCCACATAATTTTCCCCTGGACATTCCTTTATCAATAAGTAGAAGCATCATTCAACTAGATGCTCAAATCAAAAATTTAGCAGGAGTTACTCACACCTCTCTCTCTCATCCCCATATCTAGCACATCTGACTATCTTGTGTACTTAGCCTCTAGTTTAAATCCCATGTTGTACCCCCTTGTCTTCGCTTCCAAACTAAAACTCCAGTCTAACTAGAGTCCAAACTAGAACTCCAGATCCATCATGATCTCTCACCTAGATAACTATATAGCTAGCATTTTAAATTGTAAATCGGGTCACATCACTTGCCTGTTTAATACATTTCAATGGCACCCTGCTGCATCTAAAATAAAATCCAAACTCTAACCCAGGACTTAAAAGTCCTATTCAGCCTCCTATTACCATAATGCCTAACTCACTCACAATGCATCAGTCATATCAACTGAACATCAAGTACTAATATGTCTCAGGACCTTTGTGCAGGGTGTTTCCTAAGTCTAGAATGTTTCTTCCCTTCCTGCCTTGACCTGGCTAACTGCTACTTATCCTTCAGTTCTCACTGGAAAGGTCATGTCTCTCATGCCTTGTTCTCCATGTTAAAGAAGCTGTGTGCTTGCTTCCACCCTACTCTGTTGCTCTCACTATCCCCATATTCACTACATTTCATTGCAATGTCCTGCTACCCTAAGCTCTCTGAGGAAGAGCTGCCCATTTACACCACAGTGTAGGGTCAACACCATAGTGTAAACTCAGGAAAATCCTTATTGAATCAAATAACTTCTGAGCTGGACTTTAAAGGATGATTCAGAATTTGTCCAGCAAAAAGGAGAAGGGCATTCAACCCAAATGTACAAAGACCCAGAAGTGACAGAGACCATAATGGGGTATATGGTCAAAATTTATTTGTCCTAACTTTCCAGGCATTCTACCCAGTAGGATGGATGGTGAGTATGGTGGTTCTGGACTTAAGAGGCAGTTGTGAGGGGCCATAATCTATCATCTACCTGAGAACCTGTTTGCATGCCACCATCTTGTGACTTGTGATCCCAGAAAGTTGGCTTCTATAGACAAAAATAATAGCAGCACAAGTGAGCTGATTTGGGAATAGCCCCTTGTTGGCCCCTAGGCTTGATGG